CTTGCATCCTGCAGAAATTTTCATCTCAGAAGTACCAAGGCCACTTTTGTCTTTTCCTTTTGCCCCATCTTCATACAAATACAGACCCCAGATTAATTAATGCAACATCAAGGGAAATATTTGTCTATTTTCTCCAGATACCAGAAAATGCAAATGCAAAACTCGATATTTTATATTTCAAATTCACCAAAAATAGAAATTAGACACCGTCATGGATGAAAAATAAAAGTCTAAATCCCATTGTTCCCTTTTTTTTTTTTTATTCTACACTTTCAAGAGGTCTATTCTAATTCTTAAAATTTTAAAAATAACAATTTTAGTTCATGAAATTTAAAATTTTTCTATTTTAATTTTTAAACTTTTTATGTACTTCTAACAAAGGAATATCATGAACCTAACATGTATTGGAAAAGTCACTCAAATTAGTGGGAGGAGTATTAGATAATTAAATATTTCGTAGGAAAAATAACAATATATACCAAAATAGATATGCTTTAAAATAAATAAAAAGAAGCTAATACAACAAATTGGAGTAGATGTCAAGACTACTATCTTCATGTTAGCGTTTGAGGTTAATGGCTAAAGTGAGATTTAATAAATAAATAAAAAAAAAAAATTTTTTTTTTGAGAGAGGGTTTATTTGGTTAATAAGCAATGGAAGTTAGGCTGAATGAATTTACTAGTATTATTCTTACAAAGAAAAAGAAAACATGGGGGAGTTTTGTTGATGATCAAGAATAGATCATCCCCACCAATCAGAAAACAAAGCCTCCCAAATCTCAGTGAACACCTCAAGAATCACTCTGTGGTGATGGTGGGAATTCAATGAAAGAAAACACTGCAACAGCTGCTCAAGATCCTTCACACAAAAAATCTGTTTCTCAACGATCATCTCCAACATCGAGCTTCTGAAATCATTATAAGGGTCGCTCGATTTCTTCACCACCGCAAAGCTATCCTTCACTTTCCCCCCATTCAGCGGCAAAACCCCCATTCCCCTGCTCTGCCTCCCACCGCCGGATCTTCTCCGGCGAGATTTCCGCCGGCGATGAGACGCCGACGAATCGGAAGATCGCGATTTGGAAGAGAAAAGCGTCTCCGTTTCGTCTTCGTCTTCGTCGTCGCTGCTGTACCACCACGTGCCACCGAAGTTCGATTCGACCGCCGACGACGGACTCTCCTTCCTCTGCTTCGTCTTCTTCTTCTTCTTCTTCTTTTTCGTCTTTTTCCTGTCGGTCGCTTTCTCGGCGAACTCGGAGAAGGGTTTGGGCGGTGAAATTGGAGACGCCGGAGGACAGGTCCGGCCGCCGGAAATCGCAGAGGGAAATGGAGCGAGCGGAAACCGCCGGCGGGCAATTTTCCGTTTGGGGAGAAGCAAATCCAAATCGAAATCGAAATCCGCATAGGAATTAAGACTTTGGGTGGTTTGGTCGGAGTCGGGTCGGATGCTGCGGAAAGTGGCGTCGTGAAGGGGAGGAACGAAGACGGGCTTGTGGATGATATCGGAGAGATTACGGGAACGGCAGGAGGCGAAGGAGGCTTGGAACATACGGGAGAGGCGGACCTTGAACCGGGGCTCCATTAGAGGAATATGGCAGCGCGTGGAGATCAGAGAGAGAGAGAGAGCAGAGAATGCTCAATGCATGACAAAACCAAAAGTGGGACTGTATTTAAACCATTCCTCTGAAAAAGCAAGCTTCCTCCAAAAGATTGCTCAAACTTGACAATTTTTTGTTGTTCATCTTTTACCATTTTTTATTGTCATTTTCCCAATAATTAAAAAAAGTATACATATAATCACCCCTGCCCTTTCAACTTTCAAGCAACCTGCAAAGTTTCAATGATGTGTAATCAAGTTTCCAATTATTAATCACTTTTTTCCTTCTCGTTTTTTTTTTAATTCAAATTCAAATTATTTATGTCAACCACGATTGAGTAGGCTAAATTATAAGTTGGAATATCGTTTATTTAAGATGTTTTTGTGAGTGATTTTGACAATTACATAATAAAAAATTGTGTTCTCTTTCCTAGTAAATTAAAAAATTATTTTAAGAAAGTTTAAAATTATTCTAAATTAATTTTTCAAGATAGATATGATTTTGAAAAATAATTTAAAAAATCAATTATACCTTAACCATTTTTTTTTTCAAAATCACTCGTTCTATCCTCGCTCCAAAGCACATCTTAAATAACACAAGTAACTTGAAACACAAAGCAAAATAGACGAAGTTAACAACTAATATTATTATTAGACACAAACTTAATAGGTATAATTCATGAAGTTCGATGAGGAATAAGTTATAATTTAACCAAATATATAAATATGTTTTTCTCACTCCCCTAATTTTTGTTGTTTTGAGTTAAAGAAAATATATGTAATATTTGTGTTTTAAATTGTTAGGATAATTAATCTCATCGTTGGATACGTTGGACCACTTTGATCATTTGATCAAGATGATGATTTGTTTGGAATGCAATCAAAGTCTCTCACATTGACTAGGGAAAGAAAATATCTTGGAGTATGAATTAGAGACACTATCGATCTCCATTGAAATGCAGCATTTTATGTGATACCAAACTCAAACTAAGGAAGTATTGTGGTTGAGGGTGATTCCTTGTTCTTTAACACTACTGCCTATTAATAATAGTTCTACCTCGAAGAATACATATTTCTAGTAACTTTTAACCTTATTGAATCAACTGTCTTGAATGCAAAGTCGATATATACTTATTTCCTTGTCGAGTCTTGTACTAATAAAAGAATCATGTTGTTTATCTTATATATATCTTACTTAACCACTGTCATCAGGTATCTTACTTTGACTAATTTCATATTGTGCTCATATTACTCACATTGAATCTAGTATATATAAGTCTAAAAGTGTAGGATATAAAAATTTATGTTAAATATAAAGTGAAAGATTAACGAGAAGATTGAAATAATTTTTTAAAGTTGAGTTTGTGAGTCAAAATAAAACATTTCAAAATAAGTTTTAAAATGAATAATTCATAAGAGGGAGGCGCAGGCTCAACTACGGCATTTGCTGCATATTTTTAGGTGAAAAGATGTTCAATTTATTTTTTAAAAATGGTTGGTGCGTTTAGGTGATATTTCAAATTCAAATTTGAATTAGTGCTACTATCACACTCTTGCCCTATAGTCAAAAATAAATAAATAAACATCAAAATAATCATATATTAATCTCCTATCTTTGCAAAAGTAGTAAAAAATTAATAGAGATTTGCAAAAGTAGCAACTATACGCAAAAATAACAAAATCTGCCCAAATCACTTAGAAAAAAAAAAGTGCAATATACTCAATATACTCTTAATGAATACATAGCTCTACACAATTATATAACTAATATATTAATAATATACCTGAGATATATACTAGATTTGATATATCAATATTGATATATTCGAAAATTTGAAAAGATAAAATCGAAATAACTAAAAATTGAAAAATTAGATTTAACATATTTTGTCATTTTGTAAAATTTAAAAGTAGTTGCTATATATTTTAGGGCATGTTTGTTAGTCATTCAAATTCTGTTTCTTGTTTTCAAATATACCTTAGATAGATTTGTTTTTGAAAATTACTATTTTTGGACTCTATTATCAAAATACAAAAAATTCTAAAAACAACATTTTTATGTTTTAGTGTTTTCAAATTTAGAATCTGAAACTTTAAAATGTATAATTATATTAAAAAATAATATTTTTTTAATAAATATATTAATTCATTTTATTTTTGTTAAAATTAAAACACATAAAATATAATATATTATAAATTATATAATAGTGTAAAATAATAAGTATAAAAAATCTATAACAAAAATTTTAATAAATTAATTAATATTATGTTTGATTAAACTAAATATTTAGTCGGTGACTATTTCTTAAATTGAGATTCAATTTTTAAATGGTTATTGAATCTTAACTTAACATTAATTACCCATTATAAAATTCCTAAAAGATATTAACAAAAAATAGTTATGCATTATTTGAACGTTAGAAAACATTTCGAAGTCATCAAATAAATTAATTAAAACCAACATCAGCATAGTTTAAGATACTTGTTTTCTATTAAAAGTTGATGAATTCGAATTCTTGTCCCCACAAATTGTACCCAAAAAAATTAAAGGTAAAATTGAGAGAGATGGATTGATATATAATATTTTAGTTGATTTTGTGGAGAAACTTGTGTACTAATTTTGAGGTAGGCCAAAGAACTTTTGGAAGGATAAAGACATGAGGGTCGGGACAAGGATTCACCCAACACCCAACACCAAACAACAAACATTGAAACCTGAGATATTTCAGAATGGAAAGTGTAAAACCCACTATTTTCATTTTTCACCTCAATTCCTATTTTCCATAATTTTAATCTCAAAACTCTTGTCCTCGTATTCTTGTCTTTCTTACTTGGTTGAAATCAAGATCAAAACTTTAAGTCTGACCCTCGTCGAAACAATGCACTACTTTCAATCATTTTCTTAAAGTTTCAAGAAAATGGCACCTTAAAATTAGAGAGAGATCAATCAGTTAAATATAAATATAAGTTGTGAGGGAAGGGAAAGGGTATCTAGAAAATGAAACATGGCTCCAAGCAGAGGAAAACACAGCAACAAGTGCATATTTTAGCCTTTTTATTGACAAATTCAAAACCAACAGCTAACAGACAGTTATACAGTACTTTGATTCCGCTTTTCAACTTCTATTTTGCTTCACATGACAATTGACAACAACAAAATATACTCAAACTCTACGGATTTCCTGACCCACTTATTTTTTTTCTTTTTCTTTTTCTTTTTCTTTCCCCATTATTGTTTTTTTGGCTTTTCTTTTTCTAATTCAAAATCATTGCTAGTATTGACTTGACCAGTCATAATTTGAAAATCCAGTTTGGATTTGGATTTGGGAATTTTTTAAAGTCCATTTCAAAAAGGGGTATGGGCAAGGGGGAAGTTTTAGATGATATTCATATGATTAGGAATTTAGGAGGTAGGAGAGAGGGAATAAAGCATGCAAGTACAAGACAAGGGAATGGAACCAGATTATTGCCCAGAAGAGAAGTTAAGAGAGAGTAGTCAATTACCAAATAGACCATGGATGAATGGGTGAGAGGTAGAATAGGCAGTGGGTAAAAGGGGAAATTGGCGGTTGGGAATTTCAAAATTGGACCAACAGAAGTAGACCACATGTCTGAAGTTTGAAGTTTAAGATTCAGAATCAGATCCCATGGTTTTATTTAGAGTTAAAATTATAATGGAGTTTTTGGGAAGCTAAATGAGGAAGACTGTTGTACTGTGCACTGTGCACTGCCCTATGAAAAGTGAAGAAAGGGCCAAGTCTTGACTATTTTCAAAAGGTCAATCCTTTATTTGATTTTGGTTTTGTTTATTTAAACACTGCCACCCGTGAGTATCATCTTCTGCTTATCCTATTCCTCCCCTAACTCTGTGATCAACAGCTGCGTTTTCTTTTTGTATGGTTTCACAAACTTCCTTTTTTTTTTTTTTTATTACTCTGGAGCCACCCACTACTAAATTTGGATCAAATCTGTTACATGATTAAAATTTAAAATTTCGTAATCCTGTTCTTAATGCAACTCATTCAAAGGTAAACGAATCTAAAAAAATTGAGGAACGGGACTTCCACAAACTACAAAATCAAATCTTCAAACCTGTGATCGCAACTTTAGGGGGAAAAAAAAGACAAATTGATGGAAATATCTGTATAAAGTATGCAGAAATGCTCCCCATGTTGATGTTCGGTAACTTTGGTAATTGGTCAGACCAAAAGGGGTCAATAACAGATTTGAAAATTTGAAAGTTTTTTAATTGTTATATTATATTTATCTTTCAACCTTTTCTTTTGTTGGACAATGTTAGCGTCAATAACAGAATTTATACGGTGGTAAATGTATAAATAGCAACCTTTTGCGACCTATTACTGAACTAATTAGGTTTTACCTTTTTCCTTCTCAAGATTTCACTCATAAAACCCTGTGAATACACCTCAAGATAACTTTAGGATTTTATGACAGAAATCCTAAAGGATCATTTAGGTAAACTCATAAGATTTTATGAATGAAATCAGGTGAGAACAGATAAAACAATTACACGTAGACTATTAATAGACGTGTTAAGTGATTTTAATTACGAGTTCATAGATTTCCAATTCAAAGTGTGACGCTTTGACCCAGTGAGAGATGGTGTCGGCATAGTTTAGGCATCCCATTTTCCCTCAACGATTTTCGTTTTCTTTCCTCCATAGAATTATTCATGACAGTTCTTGAATAAGAAAAGTTTCATAAGTCCAAGAAAACATTTTTCTTCCTTGAGAAAACATTTCTCCAATACCCGAAATCGTTGACGATGATCCAAGAAAACATAGTTTACATTTTTATTCAAGAACCATTATGAATAAGTCCATTAATGTAAGGTTCCTTTCATTAGTGGACTTATTCATAATTATTGTTCTTGAATAAAAATGTTTGCCATTGAACCCTTTTGGCACCCGAGCAATTGGAAGCTCTTGTTAACATTGTAAAGAAGTAAAAAAAAAAAAAAGATTGAAAATAGAATTTAGGTTGGCAACGTCCATGATCCACAAACTAGGAAACAAAATCCTCAAAAACAATATTAACATAAAAGAAAATGGTTACAAGATTAGATTGTGTGTTGATCATCATTTTTGTGGGTGGTTGTTGTTGTTGTTGTGTGAGTGTGGTTATCATGGAAGAGGAGTTCGATCTCCTCCAAGCTTTTTCCTTTGGTCTCTGGCAAAAAGAAGTAAAAGAAGAGCGTAGCCATTGCCATTATTCCCGACAGCACAAAAAACATCCCTCCAAACGTTATCTCCTTCGAAATGCTCAGAAACGTCATCGACACCACTCCACTCACCAATCTGTTCAGTGATATCGCCAGGCTCGAACCCTGGGCCCGAATCCTGTTCGGGAATATCTCCGTCGTGTACACCCACGTTATGGGCCCGAGCCCAATTGAAAACAACGCCACGTCCCCACACAACGCCACGATGCTCACCACCACGGCCCATGTCGGCCTGCTGTTCGCCTTCTCCATGCATTTCGAGCCCAGGCCCAATAGCCCCAGCGCCACCGTCATCCCGGACGAGCCTACTAGAAGAAGCGGCCGTCTCCCGAACCGGTCCAAGTATAGGGCTGAGAATAGTACGAAGCAGGTCTTTGTAACGCCCATTACGACATTCACGCCGAACAGATGCCGCTTCCGGTGGATTCCGGCGGCGCGGAATACCTCCGGCGAGTAGTACATGACGGCGTCGTTTCCTGAGGCTTGCATGAAGAAGTTGATTCCGATGGCGGCTATTAGCATCCGGCGAATCGGCTTTGTGGGGTTTATCAGTAGTTCCTTCCAAACCCCTTGCCCGTGCCAATTCCCCGAGGCGGCGGCGGCGGCGGCGTCGGCGTCGGCGGCGGTGCTTATTGCCTCGAGTCTCTCCTCTGCTTCGGTTTCGTTTATGGAGATCTTGATTAAGACCTTTTTGGCTTCTTCCAATTTGCCCTTCATTACGAGCCAACGCGGGGACTCGGGCATTGCCAGTACGCCCACGCCGACGACGAGCGCCGGTACGCCGGCGAGTCCGAGCATGATCCTCCAGTTCATGTGCGGCGGCAGGTCGGAGAGGGCGTAGTTGATGATGTAGCCCAGGAGAATACCGAGAGTGATGAAGATTTCGGGGAGCGAACTGAGGAGACCGCGGGAGGTGGCGGGGGAGAGCTCCGCCGTGTAGACGGGAGCGACCATTAGGGCGTAGCCGACGCCGACGCCGGCGATCATCCGGCCGGCGAGGAGGAGAGGGAAGGATGGGGCGAGCCCCATCAGCAACGCGCCTACTAGAAATGTTGTCGATGCGAGGAATGTGGTGTAGCGCCGGCCAATCGAATCGGAAGTCCGGCCGGAGGCGAGAGAACCGATGAGAGAGAGCACGTTTAAAGAACCCACCAGGATTTCCACTTGGGTGGATGAGATTTTGAGATTGTCTTCGATGTAAAGCACAGCCCCACTCATTACTCCAATATCTTCACAAATTGACCCAAGATTCAGAAACCCAAAACGCAAAAGAAGAGATAGATGTGACTGACTGGCGAGGAATTGAATTAATTTCAGTGAAAAGAAAGAATAGAGACTTACCATAGCCCAGTAAAATGGAGTTTGTGGAGGCCAAAACAGAGCAAATTAAGGTGTATTTGTTGATCCCAAATCCCTTCGATTGTGATTTCGAGTCTTTTTCCAGTTCGATGGCCTCCATTGCAGTTGCAGAACTCGTCTCCATCTCAGAGAGTTTGTTGCTTTTCAAAGGAATGGAATCAATGGGCATAAAGGAAGCAGATAAGAGGCTGTAATTGTGGTGCGTTTGGTTAGGTGAGTGGAGAGTTAATTCTTGGGGGTTTCAGATTTGCCAAATTTGCATGAACAGCATCGTATTATGAATGAATTACACGTCTCTCCATGATTCAGTGTCTCACATGAGGTGGCACTAGCAGTATGCAACTTTATTCATTCACCCATTCAGAAATATTCTCCTATTATTGGGGGTGTTCGTTGAGTACTTTTCTAATGCAAAATGAGTTGGTTTTCTTTTTTCAGATTTGCAAAGGAAGTTGATATATAAATGAAGCATCATATCTCCAGTTCATGAAAATATCTTTCATCTATTTTCATCGACATGATAACAAAAATAAGGGAAAAAAGATAAATCCACCTAATTGTTGTCCCATTGGTTGCAGAGTCAATGTTTCTTTATTGACATTAATAATTAATGTACAATCGCTAAAGATTCCTATCAAATGCAATAACTTTTCTAGTCTAAGTCTATAATGACTATTTTTGCAACTAAATTAATAATATTCGACGTCTGTCCATAAAATGCATTAAAAGCTGATCGAGATTGAGGTAACATTTAAAAAAAAACAAAGAACAGTAAAATCCAATGTGAATTGTGTATAATATTACATAGAACATGCAAGAACATTATTCCAACGTTCTTCACTGTTCTACTTTCTGAGTGGCTCAGGAAACAACGGCCACAGTTGAATTATTTACAACGGTAAGGATACAACTTCCAATTTGTAAAACGCCAACAGTTTGCAATAACTCATCAACGTTATTACATCAGCTGTACATTATCAATATACTGATAGACTTCTAAAGCGACTTCGGAGATCCAATTTGCCGCTGTGCCGAAAAAGAGTTCCCAAAACCAGAGATCCACTGCAAGGACTGAGGAGAAGATTAGCAGCGCCAAGGTCTGGTAACGGTTCAACGGCCAACCCGAGGCATCGGCTAGAGCCTTCAGAAATGGGAGAGAACTGCTGGATAGTTTTCGATTTGTAATAGACCATGCTGTTATCCACTTTACACGACAAGGAATGAGGTCGAACTCCTCTCGCAATCGCCTCCCCAAGTCGGGCATGTGACCGCCACCGTATAGTATGGCGATTTTGTTGTGGCCCTTGTCGATGGCATCTCTAAGCGCCTCTGTTGCAGCTTTGTTCCTTTCGCCAATTATTACAGAACTCTCCTCCACCTCAGCAGTTACTTGTGTGAACCTTCACCAGCAATGAATTATATCACATACAAAAACAGATGAACTAAGACTTCACTCTTTCCCTGGGGGAATGGAGAGGGAAGGTAAAAGCATCTACTAATTTAGATTCAGAATAACCTCCAGATTCACCATTAAGAAATAGAAATGAAGTCCAGTTGGAATGGATTATTAGTTATCACTTCCAAACCAACAAGGGAATGTACATCCGGAAGAACTCAAAATATACTTACTCAGATGTTAGTCGCTTTGCCAGAAAGACCTTCATTGCAGCACCCAAATCGAGCCTCGACAATGCTTCAAATTCTGGAAATTCTGATGCTTGACTTCCCACGTCTGCACAAACACTTCCAATGATAAGAAGTCCAACGAGTGGCATGGGAAGCACACGAGACGCCCATAGAAGTTTTGACTTCCAAGGTTCAAGATCGTCCGGTACTGCAGTAGGCTGAACCATAGCTTTGGTGGATCGTATAGTCATGTCTCTTGCAAATGTAAAGAAGTTTTCACCTTTTTCAGTCTGTAACGTAACAGCAACAAATCCAGCGTTAAAATATATCATTATACAACGCCAACCTTTAGATGTCAAAAACTACTGAGAATGATGTGAGATTGTAAAAATGAGGAACTAAGGCCAAGTGGTAAACAATAGACTCTTGTGACTTATCAAATGCTATGGTTCAATTATTCAAAGAATGAAAATGGGCATGTCCAATCGCATGCACTCTGACATCCTCAGAAAAGATGTTTCTCACTCAATCTATTGTGCTGGAAGGTAGAAGGAAATGACCTGAAGTATTCTGAAGGTTTCGTAGTCTAGATCTGCATGGAACCAATTTGCAGCCTGGTAATCAAGACAATCTAATTGGAAATCAAGCGTAAGAACACGAGCCATCTGTCGTTGAATGCAACCCAGAATATTAAATCCTCGTGATCGCGAACTTTTTAATTTCTTTGTGGCGTCTGGATTTCTTCTGCTTTCTAAGCTCTCCCTACTAGCTACCATCTCATAAAGTATACAATCGTAGGAGTCTAGTTCTTTCTGAAGGGCCTCGAAGTAGCTATGCAAAAATGATGGCAACATACTTGGTCAATCAAAAAGTCATGTTGTAGTAAGTCAACTGATAAGAAAAATCAAAGTTAGCAATCTATTATCGAAACCTTATAAAAACACCCATTTCAAGCACTGCATCAGTTATTTTCAAACGCAAACTACCCACATAACAAGGAAGATAGAAAGACTAGTGAAACGAGAGTTCATTCAATGCCCAGAACACCAAAACACAGTTACAACACAGGAAATTTTTCTTCTTCGATTCAAAATAGAAAAGTGCCTGCAATATCTTCCCATGACAATTTTGTCCCTTTTTGTTTGTCATTTCAGATATAGAACAATTTTTTTCTTAAATGCAGTTCTTCGTCTCTTTTTCCTTATGTAACAGTTTCTTAGTTTGTTGATGATCGCCTGTTGCCATATAAACATATACTTGGTCACAATTCCAGCTCTTCTCTCAATGACAGCACTAATGCCTAATTACTAAGGCACTACCCTTCCAAATTATAATCAAATTGCATGATCATATCTCCTAGTCCATAGGTTACAACCAACAATTTGCGAGCAGAAAACCGAGAAAACATAGAAGATGGTCGAAATGATAAAACGAGACAGAACCCCATAAACTGGGTAGGTAAACATACTCTTTGTCTGCGATATGGATCGTTGATACCAAATCAACCTGGAAACAATTGAAGACCACAAGCCACAAATTAAAGAAACCCCAAGTAAGAAACACAAATACCCAATTGAAGCAATTAGAATTCGAGCTCGAACCTGAACAAATGGCTGCAGGATAGACCAGGGGAACTTCTTTCTGTAACTAACTGTAGCAGTCTGAAGCTCCGCACTGCTTCCATCCCGTTTGAACCTCATGAAATCCGCAATTGAATTGTTCTGCAAAAACAGCTCCGCCGAGGCATCATCGCGTGATTGATTGGAAGATGAAGATGAGCCAAGAATTTGGCACCGGAACAACCTAACACGTTTTGGGAATGTACACCTTCGTTTGGATGATTCTGAGAAAGGCCCAATCCCAAATTTGTTGGGGATAGAAGAAGATGGTGAATCAGTTTTGGAAATGGAAGGAAATGAGGTGGGAGAGAGAAGTGAGAGGGAGCTAGAGACCATATCCTCTCTGGACACAGAAACCTGGCGCGCGCGAGAGAGAGAGTGGTGATGCAGAGCCCAAAAATGGGATAATACGACGATTGAAATCTATAAATTATTCTCCATTTTACCCCCTTTTTTTTTCTTTTTGTGAACAAAATTCATCAGAAAATTTAAAGCAAAAACGTTTCTTTGTTGAGCACCGGACTGTGCCAAGCTCTAACTTGCACGCAACAGTGAACAAGATTTTAAAAATCTGATCTTTTGAGTTTTGACCATTGTAATCAGATTATAGTCCATTTCTTCATTGGTGAATTTCTAGATAATGGTGCAATATAGTATTTTATTTAAGATTTGCAACCTTTATGTCTTTTCCAAAATTTTTAAACAAAATATTTCAGCTATAATTTTTATGTTGAGGAGATAATAATAAAAATAACAAAAACTCTGAACCCTCAACTAAGTAAAGATATGGCTAAGACTCGAAAAATATGAGATTATATTCCTGCACAAAATGATGGTTTATTTATTGAAGGTTGCGAGATACATAAGTGTCCGCCTATATCTAAATTATCGGTAGACTCTTGACCTATTTGATTGCACTCTGGATAAGTCTAATAGCTCAACTTTTATGTATTTTCGAGGTAAATGATAGATCTTTCCATTATGCACCACATAGTAAATTTTATTTTACCCTTGAACATTATCAAAGTTATTTTAGTAATTATTCGTATACTTTTAATTAATTTGCTAATGTGTCCAATTTAAACTCAATTAAAATTGAAAAATAGGAAGTTATGTCTTATTCGAGATCGCTAAAGTCATATAAAACGTTAAAAGATGTGTTTAGTTAAATTTTAAAAAATCTTGTAATACTCTACAAAATTCTTCAATTTTTTACATTTTAATACTTTCCTTTCTTGGAATTATAGCAACTAAGCATTAAACAATAGAAGCTATACTTCTATCTTCTTTTTCTACTCTAATTCAGACCTATATATAGAAAATAAAAAATTTCATCCTTAAAATATTACAATGCTTTAACCAGTTCACCTGGTTGATTAAATTACCAAATTTTTGTTGAGAGGCTAACTTCATACTCAACTTAAATATGAAGTAGATAGAAAGTTTTCATTTGCATTAAAATATCTTTATTTGTTTATGAACTTGATTAGAACAATATCCCTTAAAAATAGTACAAAATTAATATGAATTTGCAAAAGTAGCATCCACTTTTTAATTAAAAAAAGAAAATCCAACCTATGCAAAGTCTAATATACCTCTAAATATATAGTCCTAATTATGATATATTGGATGTATATACATGATTTGATATATCATTGACATACTTGATTATGAATGTTAATATGTCAAAGAGATACCTATCGAAAATATATTATATGTACTGTCTAGGACTTTAAATTATAATACATGGTTATTTAAGAGATTTTTATATAATTTATTACTTTGAAAATTTTACCATTTTCTAAATACATTAAGTAGGGGTATTTTCATCTTTTTGGTATGATTGATGATGTGGCATTGAGATTGGGAGGCTGGCTAAAGCCTTGTCATCACGCTGCTTTATAGACTAGTTTTTATAATAGAATTTTAAGCCTTTGAACCCTTTTTTTTCAAGCCAAGCAAGAGGGCTTGAAATCCTTTGCAATTCTTAATCTAGTTTGCAAGCTTAGAACATTTAAGTTGAGTTTAATCAACCTCTCTTGTGGATATTCAACCTCAAGTAGGAACTAGTTCTCTTTATCTCATGGTCTTCAATCAACAAGATAACCTTATTCTTACTCATCTTCGAGATTGTGCTAAATTGATTTTGGGGGTTTCAATGTTTGTGAATTAGGGATTCACATACCCAAAGGGATTCCTAATTCCAATTCGTTAGGATTTTCATATCAATATACTTGACATATTAATTCTCTTACTATGTTCAGTTTGTTTTATTGAACCGTGTTGTATTTATTTATAAGTTTAGATGAAATGGCTATCTCTTATAACTTAAATTCATGTCTTTTCTATACCCGATAAAAATGTTAATATACAATTGATATACCTGATTAGTTATATTATTGAAGAAAGCAATAACACTAATATATCTTATTATGTTATTAGAGACCTAAAAGGGATTCACAACCCTTTTGGAGGGAACAAAGTTGTTGATGCTTTCATTCAATGGTTTTAGGAGATGACGATTCTCGCGTTTGGTGTTATAGGAAGAAAATGGAGATAGAATTAAACAACCGRAAAGCAGGAATAAAGCAGAAGAAGAAGCAGACTCGCGAAGCAAGGTAAATGAGTCCGGACCCGACAACCCAGGTCCCGATCATAGCCGACCAGACCTCCTTGGCGCTGAGACCTTCTCGGCGCCGAGGACCAAGAACCTCGTCAGTTCTCCCTGACTCCCGCATAACCCGATCCGAGTTGACTTCGTCTCGGCCCTGAATGCAACACGAGGCCCACTCTGTCCTAGATCTCCTAAATGCACTAAGATTCGACTTATGTAAATCCTAAAAGGAATAGCTGATGTAAATCGTGAAGGGATTAGGATTCGACTTCTAGGAGGGTAAGCCAAACCCTAAGGGACCGTGGTTTAAGGTTTCAAAAAAGATGTCTGGAATTAAAATGTCTGGGATTAAGATACTTGGGAATAAGATGTTTGGGAAACAAAGATAACTGTGTTTGGTTGTATATATGTCTGCGATTAAGATGTCCGAGATTAAGATGTCTGAAAATAAATTATATATATTTATTTTGTGTGATTACTCTAGAAATATACATTTTATGTCATTGTAATCTTGATTGATGACCAATCAAATTTAAATCAAAAAATATAAATTAGATTATTTTATATTAGCAATTTTAAATTAACAATTTAGCACAATAATCAATTTAATAATTAATATTAAATGTTATTTAACTAAAATCCAATATATACATATTTAGCAAAATGATATATTTGTATAAAGCTTTAAAATCAATTAAAATTAACTCCCAATAATTAATTTATCTTTATTAAGTTAAAATAACTATTATTCTAAGCAATTATGTTTTAATTTAAGTTTCACTCTTTAATAAATATTATCTAAATTTATGTTGTTGATTTTATTTAGCAATCAATCTTAGTAATTATCATTTTATGTGTTTAACAAAATTAATCATTTTCATCTTATTAATTGCACCAATTAATTACATTTTTTATAAAAAAAATGAAGTATATACTTTAATAATAAATCAATTTATTACGATAGAATAATGTTGTTTTATTAGTTATAAATTTAATTTAAATATTTTAACTATTTTTAATTAATTAATTTGAATAAAATAAAGTAAATAATGACATTAAAAAATTTATTTAAAAGAAGAGAGATAAGAGTCTGGCACAAAACCGATGCACAAACCCATGAATCTGGGAGGGAAAAGAAAGTCCTTGTTCATGGGAATAAAAGGATGTTTCGGAAAAAGCTATTTCTAGGAAATGATTTCAAATATGTTTAACAAACAAGAGTTTTAGTTGTCCATGTCATTCCACCCAGAAAAATCCTCCAACCAAACGGTTCTAGTATGTCTAAATACCCTATTCTTTACTGGGCTACAAATTTTTGCTATTTGCTATGCAGAAACACCTTATTCTTTCTATTCAACTATTATGACTCAGACTTAAGTATCAGAGTCTGTGTGACTAAAACCACATCGGTCTTTAGTGCTCTTCTATTTTGCAGATTCTTTTATTCTAGAAGATTCGTGCGAATTTGAAAGAATCCCAGGAGGCCAAATTTCTACAACAAACACTTAGTTTTAAAAAATTGCTAACTACTCTCATTCTCTTGTTTGAAGGAGTCTATTTCTCTTACAAATTCTTATTAAATTTTTCTCTGTCTAAAAAAAATTAATAATGTAAAGTTGTTTTTTCTTATAACGAGTTTAGTTGTATTCCAAAATTTCAATTATTATGCATTTATTTTGATAAAAACTCCTCAATAGACTTGTCATTAACTTATTGTCTATCATTGATAATAGGTCAAATTTACTCTCAACTAAATTAGGAAAACAGAAAGTTAGGTCTTGTTTGAGATCGATAAAGTCATATAAAACGTTAAAAAATGTGTTTAGTCAAATTTGAACAAAATTTTGTAGTACTCAACAAAATCTTAAAGTTTGGTAACATTTTAATAATTTTTCTTTCTTGGAATTATAGCAACTAAACTTTAAACAAATTCCACGTACAATATCTTGATTTGAGATATATGTCAATTACCGCAGAGTTATGACGATAGAACCTATATTTCTATCTTTTTTTTTATTACAATTCAAAAAATTTTAATAACAAAACAACAATATCTTAACTAGCTAGTTCACCGATTGATTAACTTACTAAAGTTTTTGTAGAGAGGCCAATTTTATACTCCTAACTTAAATAGGAAGTAGTCTCCATTTGTTTATGCAACTTGATTAGAACAATATTTTTCCTATTGAAATCTTGCAAAATTAGCATCCACTTTTAATTTTTTTAAAAATAGCAAAATCTCAATCATACACAATAAAGTAAAAGTCTAATATACCCTTAATGAACACAAAGCTCAGACAATGATCTATTTGATATATATACATGATTTGATATATCATTGATATATCGAATTATGAGTGTTGATATATTAATGATATACATGACATGAATAATGATATACCAATAATATAATTGTGTATTACTTCTTTTACTATTTTTACTATATTTAGTTTCTCTTCTTGAATTGTGTCATGTTATTTACAATTTATATGAAATTTATACATCTTGTAACCTAAATGCATGTCTTTTATATTTGATATGGATGATAATATATTATTGATATACATGATTTGTTATACTGAAAGAATTAATAACACTGGATACCTTATCATGGATATGATACATAACAATAAACCTAAATATACATGGAATGAATTGTTGATTTACACGATGTACTTGATATATATGATTTGATATATCAATAATATACCTCAACATTTAACATTGAGTAAAGTAAAATAAAATCAAAATAACTAAAAAATGAAAATTAGATTTAAAATATTTGGTCACATTTGTAAAGCTAAAAAATGGTTCCCATGCTTACAAATATGAAAAATATTTTACTTACTCGTTACAAATTCCTTACTTTTAAACTATGTGCATTAATCATCATAATATGAACTAATTACATATCATCATGCAACATAATAATTATTATTCTTCGTGTTAAACCATTATGAGATGATAATTGAATTATTGATCACAAAGATGGTGATAGTTGAATTTTATTACTAAGCTAAATTTAAATTGACAATTTTTTCCATGAGCTATTTTAAAAATGATACTTTTTATTTATAATTAACTATGGACAGGATAAGTACAATTTAGACATCAATATTGGTACGTCTCCCTATTTGCGATGTAATATTCTTCGGTATTTATATTAAAAAATAATCATGTATCATTACTAAGGTGTGTTTGATTGGTGATAAAAAAAACATAAATCTAAAAAAATAATAAACTCAATAAGAAAACAGAATTGTATTATTTGTTTTCAATGTTTTCATATATATGCGGAGTAGTAGATCTAAAAATTGAATCTCTATTTAAAAAATTGTTTCATGCGTGTTTAGTAATATATTTGTAAACTAGTGGTAATTTTCAACTAAATATCTAGTTCCATCTATATTAATTAATTTATTAACATTTTTGTTATAAATTTTGTATAATTATTATTTTATAGTATTATATAATTTATAATATATTATAATTTACGGTCAAAGTGAACATAGTTTAGATATGTATCTCCGACCGAGTTCGAATACTCTCTCTAATATTTTTATAGTTAGTTTCAATAGTTTAACACATAATTAAAAACATAAAACAAAAAAAGAAGAAGAAGAAAGAAAAATAAGCATACATTTGATTAAGTGAATCTAGAAAAAGAATATCAACAATCCTAAGGAACCAGACAATATCGATCAACTAATTCCAAAAGAGAGAAATGAAAAAAAGAAAAGAAAAAAAAAAAAGACAATATCCATAAGCATGATACGTGTAAGGTTCCATCACCCTCCCCCTTCGCGAGTGATATCCATCTAGCTGGAATTTTGATGTTGACGTGGACCCACCACGCCACGTGTCATGTTTGTCGTACAAGGATGAGGTTGCTTATCGTGTGGTTATCACAGTCCTTTCTTCTCCATTTTCCCGCAACGTCACCGCCCATTTTCCCAAGACTTCTTTGATATTTTTGTTCTGCAGAGGCCTCTTCTTTTTGATATTTTATTCCCTCTATATATATTCTCCAAGAAAATCGTAACTAGATTACCCTTTCCCCAGAAAAATTGGAGCCATTTTCTTTTTACATGAATTCGCACTTTTTCTAGAACTCTTATCTTCCATCAATGACCACACTCACGAAGCTTCAAGCGTACCCACAAAATTTCGACTGCCCAAGTACGAGGGATGGCCACCTGATCGGAGCTCTTGGACGGGGATCCCACCGGTTCGGTGTCGGAGCGTCGACGAGCCGTGGTGGGTTGTTCTTGAGAAAGTGTAGATCGTTCAGAGGCGAGGATGGTGGGGAGTTTGAGAAGGAAGATTGTAAAGGGAGAAAACACAGAAATTCGAGGTCGAAAGAGGTGAAAGTTAAGAAGGAAAGTCAGTTTTGGAAATCTTTGAAGGCTGATGTTTTGGGTAGGTTTAATTTGTGCTTCGCGTCGGATCTTGAGAATGGGAAGCTTATGGCAAAAATGGAGGCCTTGTTTTCTTCGGTGAGTTTTGCTGCGTGCTGCTCACTTTGAATTTCATATAAACTCTGTTTTTGAGTGATATCTTGTTGAGCGAATGTGCCTGCAATTTTATTCGACTGCTTTGGCGACTGTAACTTGAAGTATCATCATGAACTGGAAGTTTTTTTATTAGTTGAGTTATTTGTTGTAAGAATTTGAAATTTTAATTTTGGATAATTGGATATCAATAACGGAGGAGGAACCTTCTGTAGGCTGCTAAGGCACAAAATTGAACCAAATTATACTTAAACTGTAAAGAAATAGAACTATTTTGATCTGTGGTTTTTGATGTAAAGTCATGGATCAAGGAGGACATGTGCTTTGGTCTTCATTGGAGACTGTAGTAGCATCACTAACTGTAGTTCCTTTATTATCTATACTGAATAGGCTGCAGTCCAAATCGGGAGGTATATCGTTACGATGATGAGCACTGGTGTCATACTTGCTGTTGGGTTTCAGTTATCAGGTATCCCATATTTTGAATGTTTCATTTGTCGTTAAGATCGTTGATGTTAATTTGAATTCTGTTTCTTGAAAATTATTAAGGTGGAGATAGTCAGATGAACACATTGATTTGGTATAGCTGGCTTGGAGGAGTTATTATTGGGACTATGATTGGTGCTAACATGGTATTAGAGGAACACTGCAGAGCTGGTCCACGAAATGTCGTTATAACTGGAAGGTAATTAATCACTCACAAGCAATGTAGTTCATTGGCACAGAAATGAATGAAAGCCAGCTGATCTTTGTTTTAATGCAATTGGTTACTTCAATTTTAGTGTTGGCTTATATGGTATTCACATACTATATGATGTAAATCAACTGCTATGTTGTTAACATGGACGGTTGACTATGCAGCACAAGAGGATTGGGAAAAGCACTAGCCAGAGAGTTCCTCCTCTCGGGAGACCGCGTGGTTGTGGCTTCTCGCAGGTGGTCCTCAGAATTAAAATGAAACTTCTGATACACAGTATCTCAATGTTTTTACCACTTGCTTACATTTGCATTTTCTGCTCAATGATTTTGTGAAGACAGCCCCAGGTCTGTTCAAGAAACTCTCAGAGAGCTCGAGGAAAACTTAAAAGGTCTAATGGCCGGAAGTGGTTCTTGCAATACAAGCCTGGCACGTGCTAAAGTTGTTGGCACAACGTGCAATGTTTGCGACCCTGAAGATGTTCATAATTTAGCAAATTTTGCTTTAAATGAACTTGGTTCTATTGACATTTGGGTGAGTCACGAACTTGTGAAGTTAATTTTTTATGCACGAACTGGAATGGTTTTTGGCTCTGTCAGATAACATGCTGCTTTTATTGATTTTTTCTTTATAATAATATTTAGATTTTTAAATGTACTGGTTCATTCTTAAAGTAGCTGCCTTGGTGCCCTTTAGGAATAAAAGTCTGATCGTCTGAAAGCAAGAGATTCCTATTTAAAAACATTAAAATTTGAAATCGTCAAGGATAAAAGAGGCATACTCGTAGGCCATAGCTTATCTCTACACTGTCAATCTTGATTAGAAAAGAAAAAGAAATGTAAGAAATATGGATTTAGCCTTAATTCTCAATCTTGAATCTGTTTAATGTGACAAATTATGGACAGATAAACAACGCAGGGACCAATAAAGGCTTTAGACCCTTACTGCAGTTCACGGATGAAGATATTACTCAGGTAAAGTCATTAGTAATTCTGGATTTCTTTACCTATACTTCTCTTGATAAATCTGAACGTAATCTTCTCCAATAGATATGAGCTCTTTAAGAAGGTACTTAGTGGTTGCCAGTTTATTCCACTTTGCAATATCCCAGGCTCTGACTGTTACTAATTTTTTAAAATAAATGTTACTGGAGTTTTATTTGAATTCAAGTATTGATGGCTTAAAACTAGAGCATTGAAACTAGTCTCTTTCACTCTGTTTATGAATGGAAGGCATGGTTTACATTTCACATTCATCTTACGTCCTGGTTGAAAATTCATGTTGTCCCTTCTGATAAATGGTGACTTTGGAAGATTTGATGCCAGACCCATAAGTTGATTTAATTTCATCCCTGATTATTTGATAGATTCTCTCAACAAACCTCGTTGGTTCACTTCTTTGTACTCGAGAAGCCATGCGTGTAATGAGAAATCAGGCTAAAGGAGGGCACATATTCAACATGGACGGTGCTGGCTCTGGAGGTTCGAGTACTCCTTTGACGGCTGTGTAAGTTCATTGCACACTGCAGAATGTAAATGTAGTTTTGCACAGGGCGGGAGGTTTCATTTCGAATTCTGGTTACTGGTTTTAACTCGTGGAACCATTCATATCCTCATATCTATGAATTCAACAGTCGGTTTTGGTTTTTTACGACCTTTTATTTACTGAACTTGTAGGTATGGATCGACAAAATGTGGTCTTAGACAGCTTCAGTCATCTCTTCTGAAAGAGTGCAGGCGATCCAATGTAGGAGTACACACCGCATCTCCCGGCATGGTTTTGACAGATCTCCTTCTTAGGTGAATCAAGCTTCTTCTTGTCCTCGTTTCTCCATTTGCAGATAAATTGCTAGAAAAACACATTTTTCTGGATAAACATTCTCCATTGGAATAATTCTAACGAAAACTTGCCCTGTACTACTTGTGGCTTGCATACAGTGGTTCAACGGTGAGAAACAAACAGATGTTCAATATCATTTGTGAGCTTCCTGAAACAGTTGCTAGAACATTAGTTCCTCGGATGCGAGTTGTTAAAGGAACGGGAAAAGCCATCAACTACTTAACTCCTCCAAGAATCTTGTTGGCTCTGGTCACTGCTTGGCTGCGACGAGGTCGGTGGTTTGACGAGCAGGTAAGTTCAGTCCCATCATGGAAACTAGCAAACACAAATACTTGTAGTATTCAAAAATCCATTGAGAACCCAGATGAGCAATCATGGAGAGTTGTGCTTGTTATTCATTCAGGCTGTAATATATTGCAGGGGAGGGCTCTGTATGCAGCGGAGGCAGACAGAATCCGTAACTGGGCCGAAAACCGCACTCGTTTCTCCTTCACCGATGCAATGGAGATGTACACAGAGAACACTTGGGTGTCTGTCTTCTCACTCTCTGTCGTATGCGCCTTCATAATCCTCTCTACAACAAACAGCACTCTTCCCGGAACTTGATTGATTATATTAGAAGCCAGATAGCATTCAAAATTCATGGTCGTTAGGTCCTGATAGGGGAGAAAATAAAGGAGAAAGGGACATTGTTAGTTCACCCTGCATCCTTGTACACAAAGAAAAAACCAACCCCCCACTTCCACTAGAAAATGAATTTGACTGCCTAACCGCGAAGCCCTGAAAAGGGGGTCTATTTATTTATTTAGTTGGATGAACTGAGCTGTGTTGAAATGTGCTGTATCAAAAGTTTACAAGAATTGAGTAAAGTTTGTGCCTTTTTTACAGCCCTCCTCTGCCATTTCCAATCTGTGTGCGCGGCGGGACTTTGTCAACTCAAAATGGCCTCTTCTGCCTTCCACTTTTGAACTGGCAACCGGTGGGATATAATATTTATATTGAAAACAACCGTATGATTCAAGATTAAGAAATTGAGGAGTATTACTAATATTTAAGTTAATTAAGTATTGGAATATTTGATATAAAATGAAAGTAGGTAGGTAGGTAGGTAGGGTTAATATGCATCCATCTTTAGAAAAACAATGCATTTTCCTTTTTTTTTTTTTACAGGATTTGTAGCATTATTGATTATTGTGCTGAATATTGTACTAACCTAAAATCTTATAAGGGATGAAAATGTATTAACCATTAAGCTTTGCTTAAACTGAGTAGATCATGTTTTGTTTGTTGAATTTGGTGGCGTTTGATCGGACTAAAAAGAAAAAGGAAGAAAAAAATGGTTAGTTTTGGAATCCATTGCCAGCCAACTGCGAATTGCCATTGTCAAAATGACGCGTGTGATGGACGGCGGAGATGGGGGATGGACCACCACCAAATGCCAAATGCCAAATGCCAAAAGGGAACTTCCTCAATAGTCTCTTTATCTCAACCAACACACGCTTTCCACACCACCTCATTCCCCCTTCCTCTAATTATTCATTGAAAAGTTTCGTCTACAATACGAGACTGTAAATATTACTCTGAAAACACGGTCGACTGAAATAATACGAGATGTAAGGAAAGTGCAGTAAACGATGTAGAATTTATACTGGTTTACCTCAACTATGGGTTACGTCTAACAATGGCCAATACAATAATTCTCAAATTTAGAGGTCTCAACAAAAGCAACCTAGCAAAACCTCACAATACTCACGAGAACTAATTGATGACTTCACTCTACCATCCCGAGATCTCGATCTTCTTCTTCTAACAAATACCATAGTTGCCATGCCTCAAAAACAGTGCTCCAACTACTGTTCACGACCACCCCTCAGTGTATGCAACAACACACATAACAAAAATCCAACGGAGGAAAAACTGTCGTACCGCTATGAATTCTGTAGCGAAGAACAAATATTCGTGCGCCTCTTCCTTTTTTTCTTTTAATTGTCGTAATGTTAAGATGCTATAACTAGCCTCTCAATGATTTCCTCTCAACTAGCTTGGTTGTTATAGTTACATCTTTTAATTCCATTCCAATTTCATTTCCTCCATTGCGTTTCGACGTCGATTTGGCTCCACCAATCCAGCACCAAGAATATTAGAAAATTATTAATGAAGATATTCTTTAGAGTGTAATTTTTATTTTTATATATAATAATTTAGAGTATAGAAATTAAATAAACATCATGATGAAATTGAAGATTAAATTACCTTAAATAATAGGTTGATAGAAAACTATAGAAAGTTGTATGGAGTGTTGAGAGGTTTTGAAAATTGTAAAGTAGGTTTCCATCACACTCCTTACAAAGAAATGACAACTTGGCATCTTCAACTAATTTTGGTTATTGAGATGATAAGATTCAAAGATGAAAAATGGTTGAAGATGGGGAGATTCCGAAAGGTCATGCTATATGATAGTAAATTGATCCAATAATAGAGGGTATTTTAGTCATTTTAATACCCACCCAATTACCCAAATGAGTGAAATTCATCATAGTTGAAAAAGGTGTCTGCTTTTCCAAATAAAGTATCTTTTTTTAGTACATAAAAACTAATATTTTTTAAGACTGTTTAAAGTTAAACCATAAATTTTCACCATCCCAACTACATTTGACATGTTTTTTTTTTCTTTAAGCATGTTAAATTTTAGTTGAGAAAGAATAACAAAATATGATTTCATTGTATTGATACAAACCTACTCACCTATCTATAATAGAAAAATACATCTTCATAATAAGAATATAAAATCTAAATTAAATAATATAATTACTAATCATAAATCTAATTAAAAAAATATCTAATAATATTAACTCCAAAATAAAACACAAATCATACTAAATTGAAAATCCAATACAAATACAAATACAATTTCAATCCTATCCAATCACATCAAACCATTTGCAAACTTAATCAGAGAAAATCATAAAAAACATCATCCTTGATTTGCTCCCAATTTTAATCAGAATCCCAATGTATGAGACAAAAAAAATGATGAAATTAAAATTTTATCTTCATATGTATAATAACATTCTGTCAATGTGGTGTGTCTCTTGGTTTTGTTTCTTTGCTCTTGTGGGACAACAAATCAAAGAACTTTTCTGTGCAGCCACTGCAGTGTGATGTTGATTTGGATGAATCCTTCCTTCCCACTTGATCCAATATAAATCAAGATTTTTCTTAATAAATATATTATTCAAAACTAAATTCTCATTTTTCCTTAATTATTTTCTTTCCAATTATGGACAGAGGTGCCATAAAAACAAGATTTCTCCAATAATTCAGGAGTCTACTCTCATAGTATTGAATTTGATTGAAGATGTTGTGACTTTGAAGAAGGTGTTTCGCATATTTAAATTTGTTCAAGCAAGTTATTTTATTGGCCAAATATGACATTTATGATCGTTTATCAATTTAGTGGGATGGTTGTTTTCCTTTGTAGATTCTAGATGTGGTGCGTGATTCCCACTATCCTATTTTTCATATATTTTCTTTTATCAAATTCCTTTGGTTTTATTTGTAATTTTATAGTTTAAATAAATTAATATACTCATTGGCTAATAAGCAATTAAGTATATTTATGCATATATATATAAAATATACTTCAATTAAATTATATAATATCTCCTTTTATTTTTAATATTTGGAATGAATTATTATGAATGTTATCTATTATTTTAAATACATAATTTTAAAGTAACATTTTTTCAACGATCAGCTTACTTTTGATATTTTTCTTCTTAAAAGAATATGATTTGATTATATAATAAATGAATTTTACCCATGTATAATTGTATTTTTAAAAAAATATTAAAGTTGAAAATGAAATTTATATTCAATATTAATTACTTTTTAAAAATCTTATATTAATATGATTCTACCTAATAACATACAGAAATTAATACATATACGCAATTCATATAAAAAAACCTAAAATATTAAATTAATTTAAGAAAATCTATTATATAAATCCAAATTATATTAGATTAATATATAAATTATATGAATATTCGTAAGGACGTTTTTGGAACATTATATAAATTTAGAACATTCGCATGAATAAATTTCGGACATCCTTATATATTTTTCCTACGAAACAAACGTGGTCATCAGAAGGTAGCGGACATCTAAAATTCCGAACATCTGAAATTTCAGACATCTGCATTCCCAAAAAACAATCGGTCCCTAATGGTCACGTTTCTTGTTGATTGGATTGATTAAAAAAGAAATCCATTTTCCTTTCTTGTTTAAATTAAATATTTATTTATCATTAATATTTGCCCATTGAAGAAAATTGAGAGAGAGAAGTATTCAAAGTTTTGATTGCAGTAATTGACTGGCCTATTAAAAAGTCTATTCTTGACAGCTGGAGAGACAGAAGCCAATTTCGACCATTTAAATTTTAGAAAATAGAGGGGTTTTTTTCTTTTTCCTTCTATTCTTAAATTTATGATATTTTTTTCCTTTTGCAACATGTGAGAAAGGAGAGAGAAATTCATAATTACTTTCTATATATGTGAGAGAGAGTTGGGGATATTATACTTCAAAATGTAAAAACTAAATTGATTTTCTGTCAGAAATTAAAGCCAATGAGTAAGAAACTGGTTCTGATTATTTAAAATTAAAAAAGAAAAAGTATGCATAATTATGATATACGAAACTTCAAAAAGAATAATAATATCCCAGTTTCAGTTTGGTTGAGAAATCAATTAAATAAATAATAATCCAATGAGAAAGGAGAATTAAGCGGAGGAACTGGCGGGCCGCGTGGGCCCCACTCTTGGACAGCTCACGCAGTGCAAATTATGCGATACAATTATACTGTCATCGTCTCTTCTAACGCTACTGAATCAGAAAGTTGAAGGAAATTTCTCTTTCTTTGTTTCTCTTCTAAGTTCTGATCCGCCTCCGCCTCCGCCATTGTTAACTGGTTCAACTTTCTGAGGGGACTGATTTACTATCTATATCTAGTAAGCGAGACCCATTTGATTGTTTCTG